CATAAATAGATTTGATGAAAACGTTGACAATCTAATTATGAAACACTGGAATGGTTTCAAGGGCAAAGAATCGAATATAACGGGGGTGATTTTTGGAGATATTTATAGGGAAAAAAGCATCGTATAAGCAGCAAATTATTATATTTCCCCAAACAAGATTGAAGAACCGTCTTGTCTGCTTAATTCTCCAAAATAACTCGAAGTGTATATGATATAAAAATGCGTGTATATATGATATTAGTATAGGAAGAAAAATGCAAATAAATAAATAGATAAAATAATGAGATAAAAACATTGTTCCCAATGATATATATAGTTGAAAAAAAAAAAACCCTGGAAAACCTATATATATATATATATAAACCTATATATATATATATATATATATATATATATATATATATATATATAGTTGGTAAAAGAACGTGGAAAAAAAATTATTTAAGCGTTTTTTAGATATTAAACATTTTTTAAGGGGGAAAATTTGCTTTGGCACCGGTATATATATATATATATATATATATATATATATATATATATATATATACTGGGTGTAATAGCAAAATTGTTCACCCCACATAATTTTATATATATATATATATATATATATATATATATTTGTGTGTGTGTGTGTGTGTGTGTGTCTGTGTGTCTGTGAGTGTGGGTATACCGATTGTAACAGCAAAATTGTCCAGTTCCGCAAAATGTTTAATATCTAAAAAAGCACTTAACTCATTGATTTTTTTACAGGTTTAGATAAGACGCTTGGCCATCTGGTCACCTTTTGTCGCAAGGTTTACTAAAAAAAGCATTTTGAGTCATTCAGCTAGAAAGAAAACAGGTTTAACTCATTTTGTGTCAGCCTCACTATATCTTCTCAACTGAGCAATGGTGAGAGGAAAGTAATCATTAAGGTCTTCAGCAAACATTCATACGCTGGCTTCCATCTTCAAAGTCCATTCAAGAATCATCAAGAGAACGGTGAATAACTTTAACAAGGAAGGAACACTAGAGAGCAAAACTGGATCAGGAGGTCACAAGATTTTAAAATTCATTCTCGTTATATTTATAGATGTGTTGTAACACAAAGAGTTTTCTGTTGTCTGGTTATTTTATGTTGCTTTTGTGTAAGGAGACCCTGTTTTTTATTTGTTAGCTCATACCTATATATGACTTCTTGCATTTTGTGCATTTGAGTGCATAAATCATATTTTTGGAGTAGCAGTTTAAATTTTTATTTATTATATAGTGGCTTGGAGAAACAGCAACCCCAATTTAACCAAGAAAAACTTTCACTGGCCAAAAAACCCCGAAATGTACAAATTGAGGTTACCTTTAGAAAACCCGAAATATGTGGAAAGAAACAATCATTATTTTTTAGAAGCCCCAGTCTGAACAAGAAGACCAATTTAGATGACACAAAACCCAAAATAATAAGCCTATCTACATATACACTTACAATTTCAACCTAATGAAATTGGGCCTAAAATTCTGCCCTGCCCCGAAAAGCAATATAACAGACCTAAAAAAAAAAGACCTTAGAGAATTTGAACGCAAATTCAGACTAAAAGAAATATTTAATAATAATGATAATGAGTCATTAATAAAAATAACAAATCCAATTTATTCCCCAAAATAATAATACCAATGAGTTAATATATTTTTTGAAAAACTCAACAACCTCGGCCTACCAGAAAAATCCAAACCATTCAATAATCTTACATACAGAGAAAGACTAGACTTAGAGAGCATCCGAAGAAATAATAATATGATTATAAAAAAGCGGATAAAGGCAACGCTATAATGATCATGGACAAAACGTACTATAAATCAAAAATTCTAGAAGCATTAATGGATAAGAACAACTACAAAATAATCGATACCAACATAGACAAAAATATTATACCAAAAATTATGAAACTCTGTGCAACGCACAATAAAATATTAACAAAAATAGAATAGGATTCCCTAATAAACTTTTTTACCAAAAACAAGCAATTTCTACGGATTACCAAAAATTCAAAAATCGAATGAAATAAAAGCAGCTATCCAGACATCTGAATACATTAGCCCCCAGTGACTTTCCATTCCGACCAATAGTAGCAGGACCAGCCGGTCCAACTAGCAAACTCACTAATCTAATAGACACTATATTACAACCACTTACTAAGCAGATTAAAAGCTACAGCAGAGACGATGCTCACTTCTGTAGCTCCATACCACAAAAAGTAGATCCGGGAACACTTATGGCATCTTTCAACATTAGTATCCTATATGGCAATATACAACATGAATTAGGTAAAAAGGCAATCTCATTCTGGACTGAAAAACATCCAGAAACACTACATCCCAGATTTACTAAGGAATTTATTATTGATAGTATAGACCTAATTCTAAACAATAACACTTTTGAATTTGACAGCAAAAACTATATCCAAACCCAAGGTACCGTAATGGGAACAAAAATGGTACCAACATACGCCACCCTAACATTAGATTACCTAAAGGAAAAACTCTATGAAAAGATAGAACAAATATGTGGGGCAAAAAAAGCAAAAAACACTTCAGTAAATCTTGAAAACGATAGTTAGATGATTGCTTCATTTTCTGGAAATCCTCATAGGGCGATATTAAACAATTCCACACTATACATTATTTACATTATTCGGACTATTGTCCTCATCTTTGTCGCCATCACAACGTTTCGGCCGTTGTACGCTCCGGCCTTCTTCAGGTGGTTGGAATTTCGAACTGAACCCTTTATTTCGATCATGAATTTCTGGTATTATAAATCTAATGTCTTCAGAAGACATTAGGTTTATAATACCCAGAAATTCATATCCAGATGTCCTCAATGACACATGGCACAGTGGATAAAGCCGTT